TTGTGAAGAAGACTAAATTAAATTATTATATTTAAAGGTTAGATTACTTTTTAAGACAAAAACCTTTAAAAAGTAAGTCCTGAACAGAAGCTACGCAGTTAAAAACACCAAAGAGATAACAAATGGTAAAGCGTCAGGGAGAAGAAAACACTAAATTTGACCCAAAATTTCTATTTTCTATTTGTAGTTTAAAGTGAGAAGATGACAGAATTGTCCTCTTCGTGTGACGACTGCGTCTCGTGTTGTGAATTTCTCAGTAAAACAACGGTGCACGTCAGAGTGGATGACGACGGTTCAAACGAAACCGGACTGGGTGGAAAAAAGGCTCATATTCAATGAAAGAAATCAAATTATTTATTGATTTCTGATGCCAACTTATGTAATGATAAGTTATAATATCTTCATTTGGTGGCTTTCCCGAGCAAGTATTGATTGTTTCTGCCTCCCCCATTAATATTTCTCTAGATCTGGTTGCTATGTTTCCTAAAGGATCGGCTGTAGATGAATTTTGTAAAGTGACAATTTTTTGATGTGAACACCTTAAAAAGGTTCTGGAAAAAGCTTCTTTCTGCATGAACACGTTTGTTGTTCCCATTTGTGACATGTGTAACAGTTGGATGTGTGAAATGACGAATGTGAAAGTGGGTCACTTGACCTCCCAACTCGAGAGTTACCAGAAACACTTACTCAGCTCTGAAGTATCTCAGTATCTTTCAGTTCTTTGATTTTCTGTCCAAAAAACCACTCTCACTCCTCTCAGAGTGATGTTTTGTTTTGGGTGCAGATTTCTCATTTCTGATTTCCATGATTTTACGATTTTCTATCGATCACTTGAAAGCATTTGTAAACTGTTAAATGCTCATTGTGGCGACTGTAACTCGGCCTTTAAGAAAGCTGTTAAAAGTCTCTTTCATAGGCATTCAACAACTCAACTTCGTGTATACTACCTGTCGATCACTGGGTCCACTTCCTGCCACAGGAACATCTGCATCACTGACATCAACCACATCAGTTTATCGTCTGGTTCACAGGTCTAAATAAATAAATATATATATTTCATCTTCTGCTATAATAGAAAATGTTGCATATGTGTAATCTAATGTTGCAATTTAATTTTATACAAACTGTTACAAATTAAGCATCCTCCATTTGAAATACCTGCAGTTTGCTTTATACTTTATATTTTTTGGTCTGGTGACCTACATAATTGGAAATTACTTGGAAATTACATGGTAATCCCCCCCCCCCACATCATTTTTGTGGTTGTTAAAAAGCACAGAGGGCTGGGATTAAAGTTGTAATGGGTTTGTACTTTCCTAAAAGACTGGGTTCAAAACAAGGTTCACAAATTAAAAAAATAAAATACAGAAGTATTAAGAAGAGCAGGGAGACAAATCTCTTTCCGAGAATTCGATACCAGATTCTCAGTTGCCCTATTTAACAATGTGTGCCACAAAATATCAGCCGTACAACTGGGCTCGATAAGGTTGATGTGTTAGAAATAAACGACGAGTTTATGTCTGCCGCCTTTTCCCCACTCTCTCCAAGCTAACATTAGCTCAACCAAGAAACACCAACCCAAACTGTTACAGCGTGCTTACGTCAGCACGAATTATAATATCACGACATTCACCCGTCAATCAATCTGAGTGCGGAGCTCACTGATTACTGTACAAACACACAACTTTATCAGTGATTNNTGCATGTTAAAGTCCAGGTGAAATGAAAAATGAAAACAAAATTACATCCCCAGCCATACTGCGAGCTAGCTAGCTAACAGCATGGCTAGCTACCGGAGTGTTTCTGGGGGCCGGGCCTCACTGAAAACACAACCATCAGAGATTTGGGTGAAACTGGATCAGATTTTATGGAGAGAATATGGTTTTCCCTCTGACGTCCTCCGGCTAACTGCTAATGTAGCTGCTGTTTACAATAAAAAGATGCACTGCATTATTATTTTCTGGGTGTATGTGTGTATATAAAGAAATGCATATATTGATTTTATTTTAATTATCTTTTTGTAGCATGCAGGAACCGCAAACCTTAATTCCATTATACAACCCTGTATACAAATATCCTTGAAGCTTTACCAGTCGACCAGCTTTGTTGATAAAAAAGTACCAACGCTGCTTTCGGTTATCTTCAACCTGAAGACCTGAAGTTGTTGCCCTGGTTAACCCCAAGCCACTGATCTCTGTCCTATCACCCCGACCAAGGTGGCACAATCCTCACACACACTTTCTATTCGTCTATTTACTAATTACATCAGTACAACGGAGTATTAGGGCCATACTCAGAGGATAAATAAATAAATACAATTTTGGAAATTATGAGAATAAAGTCGTAGTAATACGAGTTTTACGTTTTTTCTCGCAATATTATGACTTTATTCTCGTAATCCCAAATCGCTGCTCGAGTGAATATTACTCACATTCACTCGTCTGCTGTGTAGGTTTACAATCTTTCCTATTCTTCTTGTGACCACATTGAAAGTGATCGACTGTTTTAATTACCCTCCACCCTCGCTATCAAACCCAGGCTCGAGGAATTCCCCAACTCTGCAAAACCGTTATAGTATTCCAGCATTCACAACAAACGCATCTCAACATGCACTGAAATATTTAAATAATACAATGTCTATAGGGCAGCTGGATACCTGGAGGTGGGGGAAAGTTTTTTCTGGGTCAAATGACCTATTTACTGGCAGACACCAAAAACAAAACCCTCAAAACTCATGCGAGTAGTTTCACACGATAGAAGCCGCAGATAAACTGCCTGGTTGTTTTTAATTTTAAAATATTAAAAATATTCATTTGTGAAAACTCTAACCTCTCTAATAAAAAACTCATTTTACATTGCAATATTGGAAATGTGTCTAAAATGAGGCATTTAGTGGAATAATGCAGGAATAAATAACAACAGTGTGTGTGAACATCATACAGCTTCAGTAGCGCTGCAGATTGGAGCTATTGATTAATCAAGTAATCAAGTATTCTACCGATTATTCCATTGATTAATTGCATTAAAAATACTTTTACTTTATTAAACCAATAGTAAATATGCAAGAGAGAAAGCAAGACATGTATTTTAAATAAGTTGCAGAGTTTCCAACCATTTTTAAACCATTTTTCCACAGATAAACAATGACTCGAGCTGCTAGTTGGCTTTTCACAGTGAAGTGATTGTGTATACTGTCTACAGCAGACACACTGTACATAGTTCTTGTTTCGTTTCCCAAACTTTGGACACCTTCTGTCTCTTCTCTTCACTCCTTGCTATTAAAAGCATGTTGTACGACAGCAATAATGATCTGTGCAAAACACAGCACGCTGTACGTAGTTATATGGACTAAACGAAAGCCTCTGATTATGATTCTTAGTAATCAAGTCACTGTAGGAATCGTTTAAACTTAGATATTGCAGTATGACCAGTATGACCAGAGTTTCAGAGGAGCAGTTTATGACTAGAACTTCCTAGTTTTCAGTCACGTGACAAACTTACTAAAGCCCTGGAGGGCACTGGACACAGTAAACAGTAAAACAGGCATGTGACTTATCCATAAATATTGAAATCACCTCTCAAAAGAAGAAAAAACAAAAGATACATAAACAAACTGCAAGTTTTGGGCACTTGCAGTAATAAATCACTGAAAACAGCCCTGCTGCCGCCACAATGAAAGCACACTATAATACAGACTAGGGATGTGCCGAGCCAACCTCAAAGATCAGGGTCGGCGGCAATCAAGGAACTTACTTGAAAAGCAACAAGATTTGTGCTAATTGACAGGTTGAATGGTTTATTATAAACGTGAGAATATTGAGCCTGGTAGTGGTTACTGGTAGGAATTAATTCACTCACTGAGGGGTGGATATAATCAGCTCTATGCCAAAAAAAAAAACATTTGTCACCATTTAGGAAGAATGCTGCAGGCATGTGTGTTGTAAACAAACAAACAATGAATGAATACACGCCCAAAGAGCGGTGCACTGATGTTAAAGCTCCGCTGGAAACTGACAGTGAAACTTAAGTTCTGGTTGGCACTGGTCTACATTGCCACCGAGATAATACTACTTTCTATAATAGTTTCAAAGGTTTATTCCATCCAAATACCAATTTACTAAGTACTTATGGTTCAAAAGTATCCATGTTCTGATGGCTCTATTTTAAACATGTTCTTTTTCTTTATATTATCTGAGTTATAACCTAATGGTGCATTTTTAATATATAAACAAGTAAAAAAATATATATTAAAAAAATTGCATGAATCCCTATATGCATTTTTGACTACAGCCAGTAGGGGGTTCAGTCAGTTGTGTCAGTGTAATATCATAAAATAAGAATAACGTATTGCTTTTAAGCTATCAGGAGCATTAATCATATGTCCTGAAAGACAACAGTTATGTTGTTGTGTCATTGCTGGTCAATGATTGGTATCGTTGTATAGGAAAAAAAATAAAGAAATACTGGTTGTACATGTACCTGGCCCATACTGTAAGTGGGAAGTAATCTTTTACACAAAATTAATTTAATACATTAAAAAGGAACAATCAGTAGTGTAGCATGTGAATGTTGTGAGGTGAACAAAAGAAAAGAAGAACTGAAGAGGAACTGAAGCTGCAACATGAACAAAACTGTTACATTTAGTCTCAGTCTCTTAGCATGACATCATAATCTGGGACATATTATTTTAAACATCAGTCTGTTAGGATGATATCATAACCTGGCACCTGTTAGCCACCTTGTCACCAGCAACTGATTAGATCTTTTTGAGTCTATATTTGAACCGGATGAAGGATTTTAGTCATCAGGGTAAATTCCTTGTACATATTTTTTGCCATTTAAATCAACCGATCATCAATCATATTGTATAATCTTTGCAATCCATAAATGAGTGGTGTTAAGTGGGCGGACCGGTGCACATTTCCATTTGCTGAATAAGTGGGTGAGCGACTTCATGTGGTTTCTGATGTCAGAGAAAGTTTGTATAGAGCCACAAAAAGGAAGTTGAGCTTAATACAAAGCTGCAGTCTCAGATTCAGTCACAGTCAGTCAGTCTTCAGGGAGTATGTGTCTATGAACTGGAAACTCTAGTCTCACCTAACTTTCATTTTTAATCCTTTAAACATCAAGACAATGTGTGACATCGAGGCAATGCCCTTCGACCTGTGTCAAGCTTTAGACGGGTAAGTTAAACAAAAGTCTATTATGTTTAATTTTGTGCTTATCCTTATTATATTACCTTAAGTCTCTTTAAATGCTTTCCTCACTAACTACTGGGAAATATAACTTAAAAACATTTTGGATTAAATCTGTGTCGCCGTGAAGCAGAAAGTTTGAGTTTCTGAAAGTAAATTTACAAAAAGCACAAGAGTGTCTGAAAAGGGAATGACTTTAACCTGTCTGACAATGTGTTTCACTTCACTTAGAACATCTTGTCCTCACACTGGTGAAGAAAACGGGACAAAAGAAATTAAAGTTAACAGTTGTGATCTGTAAAATTAGCACAATTAAAGAATATTTAGAAAAGTTTTATGTTTTATATGTATCTGTTTTGTATTTCAGCCCACTTGAATTGGAGGAGACCAGAGGATTTGAGCCCTGCTGCTTCAACATGACGGTAAGATAAAAAAAAAAATTAGATATGGGATGCCATTCAAGCCATAATTCACTTTGGCCCTCTCACATACATATTGTACATTTTCACACTCATATTCATATATTTTTACAGTTTACTCTCATGTACTCGCACTTTCAAATGTCTTAATTTGATGTTATAAAGAATGTATGGATCTAAAATGAGAATTTTTATATGTATGAATGCAGATTATGTATTTTTTTGTCCTAATTTCCGTCTAACTCCTTTAATTTTACCAGACAGGATTTGAATTTTGTTGCTTTAACATGACTGATTTAGTTATTATTATTTATAGGATGCCATTCAAGCCATAATTCACATGCATAGTCCTAGTCCTTTAACATACTCAAGTACTGATTTAACTTCTATACTCAAAGTATAAAAATAAAAAGTACTCTCTTCTACCGGCTGTCTCTGTGCAAAGATAACTAATAGTCTTTTGCACTGCTTTCGGCAGTTTTTTCATGTTACGCCTGTCATTCGTTATATGCACCGGTTGTGATGTTGGGAACACGTGCGATGATGCAAAATAATAATAATAATTAAAGCTNNGGGCCCTCGCACTCCACACAACTCGGGGTGTGCTGTGGCCGCGTCACGTGCTGGTGTAACACGTGCGGACCAAAACATGAAAATGTCACGTAAATCAGATCAAAGTTGCCATGCAGCGCTTACTTCCTGTTGCCAGAAAGTGGTGCTATCACTATTACTGAATATTATTACATACACGTTTTCTGGGCAGGACTGTTATCAAACGTGAAGTTTTGTTGAGATCGGATCATGTACGCAGAAGTTATGACAAATCCCTCTTTCATGGCAAAGGTTCGAAATTGGACGCCACGCCACGTGTACGCTGTTCACCGTAAATAGCACAACTTTTAATTATGAATGTCTTTAGATGGATGAGTCCAAATCTGAAGTCGATCCGATCAATCCCCTAGGAGGAGGAGTTCAAATACAACGTGTGCAGATCGCCAGAAATGGCAGTTAAATCCGAAATGGCCGACTTCCTGTTGGGTTTGGGATATGGCACCCACTGGATTTTTTGTTCATCTGTATAAGAACTACACGCGTGTCGATTTTTATGCATATCGGTGAAAGGGGCCCCGGAGGGTTCAGTTTATGGGACCCGAGGGGCCATTTTGCCATGCTCCTGTATATAAAAAAAAATATGAAATTTTTCCCCACGACTGACGTGCGCTGCGTTTCATGAGTTTTCAAGCATGGGAAAACGTCCAAAAATGCATTCATTTGTAACTAAAATAATAATCCTTACAAATACAATAGTGCCTTCGCACAGCCAGTGCTTAGGCTCTAATAATGACAATATTAGAAGGCATGCAAAAGAACCAATAATATCAATAGCAAAAATAAAGAGCATTGGGTGAGTGGATTGGGTGAGTGGCCTATGGTGCATGGTTTAATATAGTGTTTGAATGGCCTAAGGTGCGTACGTAGTGGTCACAAAATGCAGGGTGCACTGCGTCGGGTGGTACAGTTTGATACAGGGCAGACTGCCCCTCCACTCCTGCCTGCCATCTTCAACACCTGACCTCCACCAGTCCACCAGTCCACGTTGTGCTCTGCAACACAGGTGCCCCTCAGGGTACTGTGCTCTCTCCCTTCCTCTTCACCCTTTACACCTCGGACTTTACCCACAACTCCACACACTGCCACATCCAGAAGTTCTCAGATGACACAGCCATTGTTGGATGGAGGGGAACAAACTGGAATACAGGACTGTCATCAG